CCAGGTGGGAGCGGCCCGCTGTCAGGGCGCCGGGCCTCGGCGCCGGAGGAGGAGGAGGAGGAGGAGGGCTGGGCGGCTCCCGAGCGGGGCGCGCGTGCGGCCGGGGCGCAGGCCGTTTACCTGAGGATAACTAGGAGACTTCGGGGCCGCTCCGCCGCCGCCCTGGGAGCCGGAGGGAGATTTTACGGAAATCCACGCTCGCTCTCGCCTCGGCGCCGGAGCGTCGGGGAGGGCCCTCTTGACCCCTGGGCACAGCCCCACTTCGGCTTTCATATTTTTAATATTTTTTTTTCCTGTTTAAACGGATTCGATGTTAGTTCTATTTTGATGTCATGAGTTTGTTGTTTTGTTTTTTTTTTAACGTAGCGAACTAAAATCCTCAAATCTAGATTTCCTGCTCCTCTGGCGTAGGATGTTTCCTGTGGCTGCGCTTAACCTCCCCTGGCTGCTCGTTAGCGTCGAAGTTGAGATGTTAATGGGCCCCGCCGCCCCCCGGCCCGCGCGGGGAGCGCTGGAGGGGTTGTTTTCCCTCTCGCCTGTGGAGCGCGCTGGGCGGTGTGGGGTGTGCGCGCGTGAGCGTGTGCGTGCGCGCGGGCTGGGCGCAGGTTGGCGATTGCTGGCCGCGGGGTGCCACAGTCTGACCGCTCGAGCCCCGGGGAGCTCTGCCAGTGACCAGCGAGGGGAGACCGCCCGACCTGCTGTGGCCCCGAGTGCGGCGCCTGCCCCTCCGAGTGTGCCTCTGTTTCCCTCCCTCCAAAGTAAAAGTCCTGTTACTCTGCACGGAGGGATCACCAGCCTTTTAACATTTGCTTAACGATGTCCTGATATTGAAGGTTGTACGGATTTGATACCAAAACACAAATTACATTTCATGGTTGTTTTAACTTTATTAATTGGAATTCTTATCGACTTGGAAAGTGTATCAAAAAAGGTTACCTCTATTATAGTTTGTCTTTATTTTTAGAGCCTATTAGTTGCGGGGGGGGGGGAATCATTGCAGGAGAGCCTTTTTCCCAGGGCATTTTAAGGTTTGAAAGAAATTTTGTTGCCTCGTAATTTGATATTTTTAAGGTTACATTTGTCTTTCTCAGGTCTCAAAACTCTGTATGTACGAATACCAAAATCTTTGTATCCCCACCTCAACATATTAATTCCCTAATCTAATCATCTCATGGGCTGCTTTATTCCCAAAGGAATAGCAGGTTTGATGTTTTTAAAAATTACATTCTATTTGAAAATAATAAAGCTTTTCAGGGCAAATATTGAATTAGCTTTAAATTGCTTAGGGAATATACTTTTTCACTAATAAACGTTTGAAAAGTGGATGTTTATTTTAATTTATAAACCTGAAATAATAATCAAGTTTTCTTTGCTGTGAAAGATTTTATAAAGTAATTTGTGTCCCCATCTAAACTGTTTTTCTCAGGATATCATGTTGCTGCTATTTTTAGAGGAATGAAAATTTTAGTTTAGATTGTTTTAAAAAATTTCTGTCTCAGCCAGGTATGGTGGGTGTGGGCTTGTAATCCCAGAACTCTGGAGGCTGAGGCAAGAGAATTGCTATGAATTTGAGGTCAGCCTGGTCTCCACAGTGAGTTCAAGACCAGCCTGAATTATAGAATGAGACATTATCTTAAAAAACAAAAATTCTGTATGAGTTCTCAAGATGAAGAATATCATTGCAATTAAAAAGGTCATTTCAAAAACAATGCTGATCTACTCATTCTTACTGAGATGTTCCATCAGGGTTAGCAGTGCTCACTGTCCAGGTTTAGAATACAGACAATGAAAGCCCATTTGTTACAGTTAGAAAGCAGTATTCTCAGCCATCTAACCCTCTCCCCAATTCCTGGTGACAGGTGACGCATAGATGAACAGATGAGTCTGGCTTGCAGGCTGCAGATCGCCCCAGAGCAGAAACTGTAAACATTCAGCTCCCTTCAGCAGGGTGTCACCTGGGAGTCCACTGAACCTGTGCTAATGGACTGTGTGACGTGCTGTAGAGTCTCGTTCCCACTGTGAGGTGTGAGTGTCCCGGAGGCCCTTACTGTTGAGGCTGCTTTCAGACAGTGCTCCTGGCTATTTGGAGACGCTGGGGGAGAACCTCCGGTTGAAACTTCAGGCCTCCTTTTTTCCCCTCCTCGCACTGAGGGTGACAGACTACTTGGTTCTTAATTCTTCACAGGGTGTGATTTGTGTCTAAGACCCGTTTTTGGTGAAATTTTATTTGTATCCTCGCACCCTGCAATCAGACATGTTTGAACTGGGCTTTGGGTTCTGAACCTTGCTCTTCTGGTGGGCGGGTTACTTACATTTGGGTTTCTTTATGTGGAAGTAAAAAGAAGATTCTTGAACGTGAGGAGAAGGTGAGGTGGAATGCGATTTGCCCTTGGTAGATGTTAATTCCCCTTAGCCCACCTTACTTTGCTAGGAGCACCCGCTAGATACTGTTTCTAGTATTTGCTTGCTTATTTTCTAACTAAAAAAACTACAAATAGTACATATTTATTTTATACTTGGAGAATAGACTTACTGAGAATAAGCACTGTAAACTTTTTTCTCCTGGTTCTGGGACTTCAACCTCAGGCTTTGTACAAGCTAGGTAAGTGCTCTGCCACCAAGCTATGTCCTCAGCTTGTCCGCTTAACATTTAGCGTGTTTTCTTCATTTTTGTGTGAATCTGTAAACATAAATGTAGGCTTTTGTAGTAACAGTAGTTGTGTAGTTTTTTGTTTTATCTTTTTGAGAGAGGGTCTTGCTCTGTAATTTAGGCTGGCCTTGAACTCAGTATGGAGCCCAAGCTGCTTTCACAACAGTCTTCCTGCCTCATCCTCCCGAGTGCTGAGGTTGCAGGCATGTGCTATCAAAGCCCAGTTTGGTTGTGTAGTTTTTTTTTTGTATTGAGAGTCGAACTCATGACCTTGTGCTTGCCAGGCAGGCGCTTGTGCCGCTGAGCTACATCCCTGGCCAGGAGTCCCAGTTTCTTGATCTGTGAGGGGGGCTGATGACAGTGCCCATTTCACATGGTTACTGTGCAGTCAAGTTTGGAATTGCATGTCAAGCTTTGAGAATGGTCCTGGTACACAGCTTCATGTCTTCCTTTAAAGATCTCATTGAGGGGCTGGGGATTTAGCTCAGCGGCAAAAGCGCCTGCCTGGCATGCGCAAGGTCGTGAGTTCGGTTCCCGGTACCGGA